ACATGTAATACATCAACTCAATTTCTCTGGGTGACATCAAGGCAAGGTGTTGTCCTGTCATGAGTCTGGGTCCCAGCAGCTGTGGTGAACCCTTAGGTGCCCAGCCAAGAGATGGACAGCAGCCCAGCCTTGCTAAACTTTAACTGAAATTTTGCTAGTTTTGAATGAATATATAAATGCTTATGAAAACATATATATTATATCCCCCTGGGAAAAGATATTAAGGTATGATATTTTGAAACAGCTACACTGATGAGTTTAAGTCTGTACAGTATTGGTTTTCAATTAATAATTTACATATACATATCAAAGTGATATCAAACCATTAAATATAAATCACTCTACCCCCTTCATATCAAACATATGCCTGTCTCGAGGTGATAAATACCAAGTGACATGATGAACACTGAGTTATGAATTAACCCATTGCTGTCAGTTACATATAATGTCCACTGTAGTTTTGTTTTGTGAAATATGTTTACACATAGATGGCTCCAAAAGTGCTCAGCCACCAAGGAGTCAATTAGTAGGCCTAGATAACCTCACTTGATTTCCCATTTTGTTGAGTTTTCAGGGCAAATGTTCCTTTTCTAATGATATTAATATAAATATTGTTTATATAATTATCACCAATGACATCATCATTACTATAATTTTACTGACAAAATAAAATTAAAAAAAAGAAATCTCTGAAAATCAAGGAAAAGGGTAAACAGGTGAGACACAGGTAGAATAGTAATTGGTTCCTTGTACAAAAAATTAAGAAATAAAACTCACTGGGAATGGCATTTACACATGTCATCATTGGTGACAATGAGCTAATGCTGTGGGAGTGAAATATCCTAGCAAAACAAACATTGGAGATACAAAAAAATAATCAATCTTTCTCTATCAACCCAATCATGATTGATGACACATTATCGCATCATGGTGAACTAAGTCTAAATGCCAGATGCCAAGTATCCGAGCACAGTCAAGATATAGCCCCAAAGAGAGGATTTAAAGTCTCTTTTTGTCTGATCACAATTCAGAAGAAAAATACTGTTAAGTGAACAAGAATGAAACCAAAAGAGCAAAAGAAAAACTTATATCAAGATCATTATGTCTTCTAATGTTCTAAATACTTAATTTCTTTGAATATGAATGCTAATAGTGGAATAGTCTATACACTTTATACAAGGAGCAACCAATGACATACCATTTGTGTTTGATAACACTAGTATTGTGAGTAGTATTGCTCTATCTTCCACTAATTTTTACATGTAATTTCATAATCTGAATGTTTTAGTGCAGTATTAAATTTACTTTACAGGATACATATGGTATATTTCCTAAATAAGTACAGTATGTCCCCAACTTAAGAACATAATGGGGACCGAGAGGCTGTTTGTAAGTTGATTTGTTTGTATGTCGAAAGTCGGGTCTCCATTACCTTTTTTCCCATTGTTTTCAGTTTTGTTTACATTAAGAATACCTGTAAATAAATCCTAATAAGTACGACATACCTTATACAGTACCAGACTCTTGATATATATTCATGCCCGGGATATTTGAAGTTTGCTAGCATCTATCAAACAATTTTTTGGACTTTAGTACTTAATTTTTTTTTTTTATATGTATGGAATGTTCATAAGTAGAATGTTCTTAAGTAGGGGACTATCTGTATAGCATATTTTCTATAGTTAATGTTTCTTCTCACAAAAAAAGTAAATATGACTTTCATATTTCCATACAAAAGGCAAATAACCCTTGTGGGTAATTCCATAAGAAACATCTCTCAGATCTACCAGGAAACTGGAGTGCAAGAACTATATCTTTGAGAAATTGTGAAACAGACAATATGAAACATATCCATTACTTTTGGGGGAACAATTTCAGGGACATAAATTGTAGAAATTATACACATCTATATAGATTTAGAATATGCAGTTATATAAACAAAAAATTGATGTGTTTCTTAACAAAGAAGATAATTACACATCAAAAAGGATCTTTGATTTTTTTAAAATAAATAAATAAATATATAAGTAAATCCTCAAAAGCAAACCAACCTATCAAGAAGGTTAGTATCGCCTTCATCATTCAAAACCCCTTACCCATTCTGACATGTGTCACGACATTTTCCACTGGAACGTTGTAGATCTTCTCCAAATAATTCTTGATGTCAAACTTGGTCATCTGCATCGAGACCTCAAACTGCACCACATTTTTAGGCTGAGGATCTCGCGGCTTGATGAGTTTCATGTAAAAGTTTGGTAGGAAAACTCTCAACTGTGGGTTTCCCCTGCGGTAAAGTGGATACCTGAAAAAGACAAAAGTGGTAAAGGCTACACTCAGAGGATACTATCCCATATGACTTCCATATGAAATAAGAGCAAAAAGCACAAAATTCAAGGAGCAATAATGATGAACAAGGTATAAAAAAGTAAAAAACAAAGTGGTAATACGAGGAAAGTAGCTCCACACAATAGGCCTAGCAGGTTCCTTTTCCACAAAAATCAACAACTAATTCCTCAGATTACAGAATTAAGGGAGTAATTTGCTGGGCAATTTCCATCATGATAAGTACATCAACTACTCTCTTGTTTCTGAACGGATTTCTTTCATTTAGACATACTTTGAAAGTACTAACATACTCTGTGAATGCAGTAAGATACAGAAAATTGAGACTGCATACTATTTTCTGACTGTTTTCTTATAAGAATTATATATAAACAATTAAAGTTGAACTCCCTAGCAGATTTTGTACAAAAAAATAAACAGACAAACATCTTAAAATCTCCCATGTGGAATCATAATGGCAATATAGATCTGATTAATTTTTGCCAATATAAATACTTCAACACTGATTATCAGAAAAATAGGGGCAGCAGCATTCAGCATACTCGCCACTTTTCAGCTCTTGCCTCCAAGCTCCTTCTCTTTCTTCTACCACTAACATCATATACTCTGCAACTTCTCTCTTTGACAAAATAACATTAGACTAATAATATTCTGTGAATTATGAGGATAAACTGAACTGCAAGGCAGTGCCATTACATGGGTTTAAATGGACAGGGGCCTATGCTGCAGTCTTCACCATTTCACATTGCAGCAACCTTCACATCCAATGGCAGCTTGTCAGGCAGCAACAACCCAGGAGAAAACAGAGAGCCCCTATTGGGGTCTTTGAAAAATGAAAGCAAGGGGAAAATGACTGGAATCTTTTTGTTTTTCAATGAGTTTCTGTTGCTGTATTGTGCTAGTATCACACATCAAGGTATTGTCATCTCCCAACTGTATTGATGCTACTGAGAGCAATGCAAGGAGATAGGATATGGACACCGCCATCTATTAACCCCTTAAAAAACTATGCTTTCGAGATAAATGGCAACCTTGAGCGCAGGAGTTCGGTACACCAAGCCAAATGTCATGTTTTCTATAATTCCTCCTCACGACTGCTCATCTGTACCCTCCACATTGAAGGCATGTGCCAAAAACATTTTCTCTAACAAAACTGTTGTGGTAGTTGGCACTTAGTGCTAATAATGGCAGTACAGGGGACTTGCCCCCCCCCCCCCATATCTAGTGAATAAATAGGTGGGGAAGATTAGATTTGTGTCTTTAGGTTTGCATGATACTCAAATCTGGGAAAACTTTCCGCGTACGTCAACCAATTGTACAGTAAAATAAGTGTATGGAATGGATACCTTGACGAAAACTAATACACTTTTCAGCAGCATGTAGATCCATAGCAAATGCCTGCACAGCAAACACTGAAACCACGATAATGAATTTCTCGTGTTCTAAATGACTTCATATTTATGCAATAACAATTATGTGCAAATTTGTTAAAACCGAACTGAACTGAAAACTTTCAACCGGTATAGCAATAAGACTCCATTATTTCTTGTTCATTTCTTCCTTTCAATCTAAACTAGAGAATAAGCCATATCTCAGTTAGTTAACATTAATATTAAGGACTTGTTTTACAAAAAAAAATGTAAAAAATAACCTCACCAGCGAGTCGACATGTTTGGGTGGTGTCGGCTGCCGCACGGTGAGCATTTGTAAGTGAAAATATTTTTACTCTTTATCCTTTTTGTACTCTTATTTATTCAAGATTATATTTCTATGTTGAATTCATACTTTCTGCTTCTTCGTTTATGTCTTTTTGTTAATTGTTTATCACTTGTTTGATTTGACATTTTGAGAAATAGGAAGAGTTATATCAAATACAGAGTTTTCTTTTACTTTATATTACTGTTAAAGATATTTACTATATTACCAATATTTTTTTTAGGTTTTTATATATTTTGTTAGAGAGTAGGGAAAGTAATGTTGTTGTTTTCTTGAATAGTGAATGCACATTGTTTACCTTGGTCGTCACGATTCCAAATTTCATTTTATTTTGTAATAACAGTTTATCTTCATCGCACGCGTTTCAGATAGAATGAATTGATTATTAATTTATGTTTGACGTAGCTTGCCTAGTCTGCTCCCTAAGGTGAACTTTTGACGGCCTGTGTCTGTAGTATAGAATAAATATGAGTCTCAGAAAATAGCTTCATTGTATATAAGCTTAAGAATTCCGTGTTCAAAGGAAAATATTTATATATAAGAAACAGTTACAGTTTCCTGGAGGTTAGTGACTTATGTAAGAACAACCAGTAAGAACAACCAATATGAATGTGAATCTTTTGTAATGTAATCAAATATTCAGAAGAAATTCATTTAAAAGTTTACTGAATCTGTGGTTTAGACTTGTTTTACAGAAGTTGGATTCACTACCTCTTTAGAACTTTGACACATGTCAGTTATCTCTTTCTAGTAAGGCATGCCCTGCTAAGGCCATATAATTAGAATAAGATTGAATACCTACATGTACACAATAAGTTGTACCTTCAAAAAACTGGGTAAATGTTGAGAAGACTTGAGGAAAGGCCAACAAATCTCCACCACATACTTGAGCAAAACAAAGGCCATAGACTTGCCTGGCAATCTCTCTTCTGATACACGCCAGGGTCGAGATTGTAGGCCGTCCATCACAGATCTCAGCCGTGTGAAAGTGGATTTGTACAAAAGAAAACCAGATTAAATATGAGAGGAAAGTCCCCTTTTCAAGGCTACTGCAGCAGTCATCTCTACATTTACCACATTTACATTATGTTGTAGTCAGACTTTTCTAAGAAATTTCTGTGAACCCCATATCTACTTCTAAAGCTGTGGATCATTTACCAGCAGCAAAATTTGAAAAACTAGACACAAACTTGTCTGCACTTTTATAAAGTTTATAGTTTGGACAACATAATTACAAAAACTTTTGCCCAACAGACTATAAGAACTTTATCATAGATTATTGTTTTTCTTCTGTGTTCAGGCTCTATATTTTGTTCATGGATATATTTCTTTTTATGCAGAACTTCTTTGTACTCTTAACTAAGGATTATGCATTGAAATTAAAGAAATAAGTAATCAACACTTTGCAAGTGTGAGTGTGAATGCCCATACCACTTTGTTCTTTTAAGTGGAGACAAATTTTGTTCAACAGAAATGTCAGCAGCAGAGGAGAACACAGGAGATGCTCCAGCAGCAGCTTCATCTGCTGCGGGTGAAAGCAATATCAGATCTGGATATGTTGATATCAAGAAAATGCAAGAGAATTCTGGAGCTTCCTCAGTGTTTTCTAGTAAGGTTTTTGGTGGATCTTTTATATTAGTCCTGATATACGTGATGTGGCAGAGACAATTTTTTTCTTTCTTTCTTTCTTTCTTTCTTTCTTTCTTTTTTTGTATGTGCAGTTTAGTATTTGTGTAAAGAAAAAAAAAAAATTCTTAACAGATGAAAAATATTCTGCCAAATGTTCATGTTTTAGATATGTTTTATTTAGAAAGCAAAGTATTTTCAATGAATAGTTATTTTTAAATCATTTTAAACACTGAATTTTCTTTCAGAGGCCTTTAGTAATTTAAAGAAGTCTGAGTTCTATGAGGAACCTCCCCCAGAAGTCAAGAGTGCATCAGAGCTCAATAATGCAAAAAATGCAGCATCAGGAGGAACAAAGCCCGCGACCAAAAATTGTGTTATTGTCAGCTCAAGACAGGTATAAGTATCATTATCTTTCTTCCATGTTAAAGTATTGTTCTTTTATTATTAATATTGTTATTATTATTATTATTATTATTATTATTATTATACTTATGTGAAAAAATTAATAAATTATTGACTCAGTTACACTTATTTTTGTTTTGTATGTAATGTATTCAAATTGTATTAGTGCTTTTATTGTGTTTAGATTTACAGAAGTTTAGGTTAAGAGTTCCAAATTATATTTATCTCACAAGTAGAAAATATGCTAGCATCTAGAAATTCTTGTAGGCTACCTATGTACTTTTTTAATCAGTGAAACATGAAGTATACTATATAATAAAATATTAGGAATACTTACATATTCATTTTTTTCTCTTTTTATCTTTTCTATTTGCCCAGAGAGGGAACCCCATTCTTAAATCAATACGAAATGTCCCATGGGAGTATGGAGAGATTGTTCCCGATTACACAATGGGCAGCACAACCTGTGCCTTGTTCCTGAGTTTGCGATACCACAACCTGAACCCTAATTATGTACATGACCGTCTAAAGCAGCTTGGCAGGCAGTATGAGCTACGAGTGTTGCTAGTATTGGTAAGTTAGCTTTTTGTCTTTGACATGTTATGATTTGATCTGCATAATCAGGTTTTACCTTTATTGCTTATAATACTTAAATCTGCATTATACTTGAATATTGCATTTATGATGATATTGTCATAAATCCTGTCCATTTCTAAATTTGGATTTGAGAATTTTGAGGAAACCCCATTAATTTGTGGTAGAATGTTAACCCATTCGCCCTGGATTTATGTTCTGTCCCCTGTAGTTTTTGGTGAATTTTGTTACCTACAGATGGCTCCACGTTTGCTCAGCCGGCAAGGAGTCTATCAGTAGGCCCTAGTTACCGACCCTGATTTTCCCATTCATTGAATTGGCGGGAAAATTAATAGCATTGCTATCGATACTGTTATTATTGTTATTGATGTTATGATTATTGAATTGTCATTAGAATATTTTAGACAATGAAATGAGACAAAAAATCCCTTTCCTAAAGTGAAGGAAAAGGGTAAACAGGTGAATAGGTAGTTCTTGATAACTGGCTATTTAGTGATTAAGAACATATGGAGCCATCTATGTGTAAATACAATAAATGAATGTGTCTCAAAGTGGGTATGACATCTATTCTTGCCACGTGGGGCGAATGGGTTAACATACTGATTTCATTTGAGAGTTTTAAAACATCCACGCCCCCAGAAAGTAAATGACCTTCTTGACCTCTTGTAATCGCTAACATGGACTCCCTCTCCTCAGGTTGACGTGAAGGACCCCCACCATGAACTGAAGCAGTTGACCAAAATCTGCGTAATGGCTGACATGACCCTAATGCTGGCTTGGAGTAATGAAGAGGCTGGCAGACTCATTGAGGTGTATAAAATGTTTGAGCACAAGCCTCCAGACCTCATCATGGAAAAGCAAGATGGCAATCCATACTCCATGGTATGATATACATACATATGCACAATTATTTCACTATCAGTTGTATATTAAGTGGACCAGAGAAATGAGAACAGCTAGGATTATATTTAGAATTCAGTAAAATCCCTGATTGGCCTTCACATTGAGCTCTCTAAAAAGTGATTCCTAACCTTTTTACACTCCCTATCCCTGTCTCAAACCTATGACTCATATATGGCCCCTTAACATCTGTCATCCTATTTATAATTTTTCTAACAGCATACTTCTAGACTAAGAAAAAAAAAATGTTCATAAGTCTGTACAAGCCTTTACACATGTAATGCAATATTCAGTGAATCCATGGCTCCATAGTGTAGCATATTCTTGATGTGGATGCTGACAAATGGCTAGGAAGTTAGCTGGCAATATTTTAACACTAGGCTTTGCAACCCTCTTGTTACCCCATCAGTTAGGAACCATTAGTCTAGAGAAAGAAATCTGCTGACAGAAAGAATTAGTGGGCTGTGACACCCAGCCCTGTAAATGGTTGCCAGTATATTTTATCAGATGTATAAAGAAAACTTTATGACTGATTTATGGCAGATTGAATCTTCTTTTTTCCTTTCATTAGAAGAAAAGAATATATGTAGGGCATTTAGAGAATATCAGTATGTTTAAAATCTGTTTTGTAACCCCTGTTAAAAATCTGCTGTTGTACTCTTCCAGTTAATTGACGCCCTCACATCAATCAGATCCATCAATCGCACAGATGCCATGACCCTGCTTTCAAACTTTGGCTCACTGGAAAAAATTCTGGCCGCCACACAGGAAGAGCTGGCCTTCTGTCCTGGTCTTGGCCCACAGAAGGCTACAAAGCTGCACAAAGTGCTTCAGCAACCCTTCAAGAAAAATGACACACGGAAAAAGCTCAACAGCCAGCAGCAGAAGGTCTTATCAAGCTCAAGTCAGTCGAAGGAAGTGGAAGATGTGTCAGAAAAATAGTAGTTAATTAGCCTGGTATTCCTTTACATAGAGAAGGCCTCAAGTGATCAGTGTCTTTAATTGTGTTTTTGTATCAGACAGAATAAATTATTTTTATTAAATGTGTCATTTCTATTTTTCAACTTTTTATGTAATGCAGGCATTATAAAAGTGCTGGAAGTACTTTATATATATATATAGAATATCACTGGGAGGCAAAAGCAACCTGTAAGTATTGATGAAGGCTCACACAAGTATATACAAATTAAAAGAAAAATATGGAACTTGGGTGCTATCAGACTTGATTGCTGCCAGTTATATTACAGAAGTGATTGACGTTGAACCATATCCAACTATTGGTACCCCCCAAATCCCTTGCTCTCTGTTGTCATGCGGGGTTTAGGAGACAGAGACTGAGACTCAATGTAGGGGATCACCCCAGCCTTGGACCTCAGCTCTCGCCACAACTAATTTTACATGGTGTTTTCTTCTCCTCCTTTCCTTTTCTTTCTCTTCTTCATCCCTTCTTCTGTCCACTTATCCCATCTACCCCCTTACCTGGGGGTTTCACCTGTAGGCCCCACCCTATTGTTCTTTTGAGTATGCAACTAATGACTTTCAACATTGACACAGCAAAAACTTTTGCAGACACTGTTTCTATAGTCAGCATGGGATTATCTCTTATATTTATAGACTCCTTAAATGGAGAGGCAGACCAGCCTCTCACATCTGTCAGTTAATCACCATTGGCAACAGCATGCGGAAGCTCGACATGTCTGGCAGACATGAGAGGTGCCCCAAGTGTCCTGAATATGTTGCAAGTATTACAAGCCCAGCTTACTTAAAGCAACATTTAAGGATCAAAGAGACCCAGACTTAAATGAATATTACAGGTACACTGTATGTCAAGATTAAGAAATGGACTAGCTTTTTTCTGTAATCTGAAGAATCCAGAAGTGAAATTTGTTTTGTGAGTGGTAGTCTTACAACCCCCCCAAAAATATTAGACTTAATTCTGTGAGCAGATTTTCATTAAGCTGTTGTCACATTTTATACAAATGGTAGTGGGAATAAAATGCAATACATCTAATAGAATAATAAAAAAAAAAAAATCATTACAAAATCTCAAACCATTGTTACATAACAGAAAATGATGATATTGCAGATTACCATTGCCCAATGACATCCTTACTCCTCAGAGGCACAACCAGTGACAGCAAATGTTGATCCGAGCATCTTCAAAGGTTATATATCAACTGAGTATACTAAACAACCAAATTTTTATCTCTAATGGACGAGTGTTCTCTTTACCACTATTTTCTTTACAGTCTCCTGAAATATTTATATTCATTTACTTTTTAAAATCTACAATTACTATATTTTTATTTTATTTTAAACCCTGCCATGTGGTATTATAGCTCTTACAAACTATATAATTTCAGTACATGTTACCTCCCACTGTTTAATACTTCCAATAAGTGGTATTTCCTGCTGCTTACTTTCGCAAGATGTAAAACAAATAATCTGAAGTTAAAAGTGGCTTAAATATCATAACTGGGTCTGTAATTCCTCTTTTAAAAAGACATAGATTGTCAAACTGGTTAGCATCTTCAAAGGTTATATATCAACTGAGTATACTAAACAACCAAATTTTTATCTCTAATGGACGAGTGTTCTCTTTACCACTATTTTCTTTACAGTCTCCTGAAATATTTATATTCATTTACTTTTTAAAATCTACAATTACTATATTTTTATTTTTATTTTAACCCTGCCATGTGGTATTATAGCTCTTACAAACTATATAATTTCAGTACATGTTACCTCCCACTGTTTAATACTTCCAATAAGTGGTATTTCCTGCTGCTTACTTTCGCAAGATGTAAAACAAATAATCTGAAGTTAAAAGTGGCTTAAATATCATAACTGGGTCTGTAATTCCTCTTTTAAAAAGACATAGATTGTCAAACTGTTTGGATTTTTGTTCCACTCTTGCTCTGGCAGATTTTTTTTCTGATGTGGTATTTAGGATTGGATCTCCTTGCATTTCTTTTCTCTTTCCCTTGATTCCCTCTGGGTTTTACTGTCCTGGTCTGTTTGTCTCTTATCCCTGTCCCTCTCAGAATTTTCCTTTATTATCTTGTATATTTTACTTTCTGTGTGCCCAAAGTTTTCAGCAGAGGATAACTACAAAAAAAAAATGTACATGGAAAAAACTGTCTTTACATTTTTTTTCATAATTTATTAACAAGGGCAAATGCCACATTTACAAGATTTCTAGTGTCCACATTTATGTATAATCTATTTATCCAAACCCCATACTAAAAGTATGAGAAATGAATAATGTATATCATATGTGATCATTTTTGTAATGCTCAACAACATTTCTAATTATAAATATGATAAAAACACTTTATATCTTGACAAAAAAGGAAAAAAAAGTTCTTTGTACAGATAATTTACAAAATTTCTACATGCACTGTACATATATAAAACTAAATATTAGCTATATCCCGACTATCACAAATCGATATAAAGACAAGTGATAAAACACTATTTTTGAAAATTAAATAAATAACAGATATAACTTTAAACTGGTTTAGTTCCTTGCTGGAATTGAATCTGCATCTGTTCCTTGTACTGGTCTTGAAGGTCAAGTGCTTTCTTCTTGAACTCCTCGCTCTTTTCCTCATTCTTGTCTACTCCATCTCCTTTCCGGTACATCTGTGGGGGATGAGTTTAATAAGCGTTTCATACAGTGAGAAAAGATAAGCTGTTTATATCATGCATAACCAAATATGCATGAGAAGAAAAATGGATATAAAGAAATCTCCACACTGAAACACTAGTACACACATACACATATTTATTTTTTTCCTTCTCTTACCTTTATTCTATCTTTATTCTTACTTTAGTCTTTACTTGGTCTACTTTTTTTTCCATTTCTACTCT